CCCCCCCCTCTCTCTCTCTCTGAGTGTGCATATGTGAATATTTGATTGCGTGCTTGTGTGCCTTTCGATTTTCAAAGATTTGTGTCTGTACGGGTGTTGGGGTTAACGTAGGTATTTATCATGGGAAGTACAGTATGTGCAATATATTTACAGTGTTCTAGTTTCGCTATGAACGTGAACTGGCCACCTTGTGCGACAACGTTACGTGAAGCAGCGGAGACGTTTCACCGGTGCTCTGACCGTAGTTGTGTCCCGTCACCTTTCGTTTCTCATCACGAGGATTATCATCACCCCTGTGGCCTTGACACTTTTCAGAGAGCTCCGTGCACCCGAGGTCGCCTTTTCCTGCCTTGCGTCCTGACCTCTGACTGAGCCCGTGCTTGTATTCAACCTTTTGACATATCGGTCATCTGTTGATTCTGTTGTTGTTCCGGGAGTGTATTGAATAAATACGTATCAAAGCCGACTTGCATAATAATGTGGACAGTGGACATATTACAGTGACACAGGTTGCATTGCATTTGTTATTGCCTTCGGAAGAAGTCTTTATACAGCTAAATGGATATATATATGTAAATTCATACTATTTTTATGGTGTGCTTTGCTTCTAGTGTTACGCTTACGTGCTCCTTTCGTCTAGTCCTGTTTAAGTTGTGCCTGGATTTACGAGAGAGAAGCTGGTATATTTTGTATATTCGTGCGGGAATTAGAGACCACTAAACCGCCTGGGCATCTAGAACTCAGAACAGGTCACAGCAAAGTGAAAGAGGCTATTACTACCGCGGGCACGGTGGGCTGAAGCCTGTGTGTTGTGCATTGTGGTCTGAAATGATCTGCTCGAGTGTCGTGCTTTTTTAATATTTAAACTCGCACAAACGTCCAGCGTGTAGAACGAAACCATGTCTATTTTTACGTCGACTTCGTCCCAATTCGTGCTGGACCACCAGAACCGTCGTCCGTCGCACTCTGAGCGGCGTCCGTCCCAGGTGGAGCAGCGCCGGCCCTCCCACCCGGATTATCTAGAGCACCATCACCACCACCACCTGATACAGCAGCAGAAGCGACACTCTCACGACCAGCAGAAGAGCGGCCGGCGGGCCTCCTCTCAGCCTGACTCGCACCACCATCATCATCACCATCATCACCATCATAAGGTACTAGTTATTCTTTCCACAAATGTTCTGTTTCTTTCTTGGGGTTGATTAGATCAGGCACTGCTAGATCTAGACGAATAGTAAGGGGGGAAAAGCAAAGAAAAATTACTTGGACTCTGTCTATCTAGGCTAACCCGTGCTGAGAATGATACAACGTCCCTGTCGAAATTGACAGATACTCGATAAAAATTATCTCCACACTTGAATCAAACTCACGTCTCCTGCTTGCGACGACGAAACGCCACCGCTACACCACAGACGCCAGTACAAGAACAGAAAATGGCTTATAGCAATCAATCTCCCAAAAATGGCCAGCCTCTTGTGTTAACATGGTCAAGGTATTTTTATTTCGTTTAGTTCGTAAAACAGTTTAGAGTGATCTACATTCTTTTTCCGAACGTGTTGACAGTGTTTGGCTTGACGACGTCCTAAAATGATCTTCTATTCTTTTTCTGTATTTGTCTTCTTAACCACCTCCGCGTGCACGCAATGGTATGGACGAATTCGCAGAATGTGCGTCTCATACTTATGAAGTCCTTGTCCAGCTTGAGATAATATGTAGAGAAATATGAGGTACAGTAGATTACACATATACTTCGATCTGGTGACCGACAGGTTGCACGTGCCAGGTTACCCGTGAAATGGAGGTTGCACAAGACGAGTTCGCCCGATGGCGGACGTTTCTAGTAGCAGAGTTCCATAGGTCGGTTTTCCATTTCATTATTTATTTCATTATTTTTTATTTTTTTTACTTGTCACCAGATTTATCCGGCACTGAGCAACACTAAATTTGTCCGTTTGCTTCTCTGTGGGTTGAATCTTCTTTCACTGATGGGCTGATTGTGACCTGTTCTAGATATATCCGTCAGAATTACTCTAACACCACCAAGGAACATCGAATGATCGCTCTCTGTCAATTTCAACGTCTACGGTCCGGTCTCAGGTATCGTTTCTTTGGCCTGCTGTCATTATTTTGATTAGCGCTCCCTTCTGATCGTGTCGGTTGAAAGGAGAGAGTCGATAAAGATTGTTACCTTTGAAATAAACGGAATCTATTTCTAGGTGCTCCTGTAACCGGAGCCGTCGATGCCACGTTGCTTTACTTTTGTCGATGTGGTTCGTGGGTGGAGCGTGCCTTTTCCTTCTGTTCTGACTGATGCTCTGTGGGTGTGGAGTGACGGTGCTGGTAAATAATTTCTCACTGTCGTGTTGCAGGGTACAGCCGAGTCAACACAATTGCGCTACGCAATAGTTTTGGCAAATGTGTACTTTTTGTGTCATTATAAGCACCGGACCCTGAAATGGTCCTTTAAATTTTTGTCCCCAGCTTGCCTTTTTCGTTACTGAAACGCCTAGCAGGTCCCTATATGTTGTGGGTGGTCTGAGTGCGTGGTATGTCTTTTGTCCTCTCCTGTTTTGCCCTCTAAATATGTTTCTTTCTCTTTGAAGGGTGTGACCATGCTAGTCATCATGAGCGTACCTGTTGTCTACTGAAGCGAAGGTCTCCCCAAATACCCCATTTATGTTGTTATGACCTAATAACGCCGAAAGTGTAGCAAAATCTCCACTCAAACTCAAGTACAGTTTCCCTGTGAGCGATTTCTGTGATTAAGTGTGCCCTCCCCCTTCCCCCCTTCCTACCTCTCAATCCCCACCCACTCTGTCTACCCATTGACTCCTCTTGGACTCTCCACCGCTCTCCACTCGAGTGCCCGGATTTTCCGGCTGGCCAGTGTCAAGCGGTCGTTAGGGCACGCTCCTGCGGACCCTCAGAATATGTCCTTCATTTATTTGATTTCCTGTCGCTTTTTATAACGATTTTTTCCCTCTCGTCTTATGCTTTTTTCAAGTTCGGGGTCCATGGTGAATGATTTTATCGAAGCGAAAAAGGATTGAAGGTTCTCTCTCTCTCTCTCTCTCTCTCCTCTGCCACCTACCTCTCTCTCTCTCTCTCTCTCGCTCTCTCTCTCTTTCTCTCTCTCTCTATCTCTCTTTCTCTTTGTCTCGTCGTTGTCTCTGTGACATTTGAACACATCATCATAACCTTCTCAATGCTATAGAGTAGAGCGTTGGTAAGTGTGTTATATTATCAGGAAGGAATCTAGGAATTTTCTCTCTCTCTCTCTCTCTCTCTCTCTCTCT